CTACTGTCATATAGGTTATGTTATCGGGCATCCTTCTAATTCCCTTGAACAACCAAGATTGAACTTTTGAACTCTTTATAATTTCTATTATCTAGTCCAGTTAAAGTCCAGGGGAGGAAGCCCCATCATAGTAAAGAGGATACTAATGTGATGTGTGTAGTTCTTTATAGCCTCTTCATTTTGCTCTCAAAGTGCACGGAATTGATGGATTTTTAACAGAATGTAGAAAAAATTTCTCCCGGGGGGGCATGCCCCCGGACCCCCCTAAAAGGGCTGTGTTCCCCTTGGGGCTAAGCCCCCTTTGTTCTTGAAACCTAGTGACACCCCTGGTGGACGCTGACCGTCTACAGCCCAGATGCTGGGCGTCTAGAGCAGGGGTGGCCAAACCGCGGCTCTTTAGCTGGTTCAACGCGGCTCCCAGGCTTTCACACGACAAGCGTTGAAAACGCCTTGGCAGTGGCGATGCGATTCAAACAAACGCGCTAAAAACACAGAACGTACTACATCAGCCTATCATCAATCCGTTACTTGATTGACATAGAGGGCAACCAATCAGATCACCGCACGGCCGCTCATGCGCAAACAACGGTGCTAAGCGCTAAGCTAGTCAGCGAATCACAAAAATAATTAATTGATTTTAAGGCAAGGGCGCCCAATACGTCGATCGCAATCGACCAGGAGCCTGCGAACTGGTCCCAAGTCGACCGCAAGGGGTGGGATGAGGAAATGGGCGGGAAAAAAAAAATTGTTTGTTTGTGTCTAGCTTTCGTTCATTTTCGGCCCATTCCGACTGTTGATCATTGTGGCGTGCATGCATGTGTGCGCAAGTGCCCAGGTGGGCACCCGCGTGTGTGCGAGCGTGTGTGTGTGTGTGTGTGTGTGTGTGTGTGCTTGTGCGTGCGCGTGTGCGTTTGTGTGTGCGTGCATGCGCGAGGAAGGGTATGATGTGGCTCTTTGCAGTAACAGTAAAAAAAAAAGAGAGCGAGAGAGAGTGAGAGTGAGTGAAAGAGAGAGAGAGAGAGAGAGAGAGAGAGAGAGAGAGAGAGAGAGAGAGAGAGAGACTCCTGTGGAACTTTAATGTTAAGGAAGCCATTTTGTATGTGTGTATTTTGTCTAATTTTTTTGGAGGCATTTTGGCATTGCATTACCCCAAATCAGTTGTGATTTAATTTAGATTTTGTCCATCCCTGCTCCCCCCTTGTACCCGCCAATCTTATCTCTCCATCTGTTTGTGTCTTGTTTTGTCCTGCTTCGTTGTTTCATCAGTCTGTCTGTATTTAGTTCCCAATATTTCGGTTGGTCTCTGAGCACTGCCGTGCCATGCGTGTGCTATGTCCAATGTCACATCACATCATTTCCTTGTCTTTGTCACTTTGAATATCAGTTGTTTATGGAGTCATGATTAAATTTTTTTTGACCCTGCAACCTTTGTTTTGCCTTTTTATCCCAAAGTATTTATTTATTTTTTGTGTGTGATATCTCTGAATTTCTACATTCTTTGCCCAATTCCCTGCTTCTTGCCTGCACGCCACCATAACAAACACCCCAACTAAAATATCAGTTAGATGACAAATAAATTTTGGACTGTTCTGCACAACACGTAACACAAAGAAAACAAAAGAACCCGCACGCAAAAAAAAGAAAAAAAACAATGAAAGTACTTGTGTGTAATG